AGTAACATGAGTAAAGATACTCTAGTCATCCTCTCTTCATATACGCACCAACCACCAACAAGACTTAAATTACAGAGTTTGGTTTGGTACACTTCTAGCTCAACCTAGATCAATCTAAAACCATTCTAATGCAAAATTTCTTCAGTATAATTTCTAGCTGGTTCTAACCAACATTTCTACTCCTGAATAACATTTTAGGGCAAGAGAAGATGAACACATGCAGAACATACCTATGGACACTCAGAGCGCAAAAGACGCTTCTGAAGACGAATGAAGCAGGAAGCCAATGCCATCTTCAGGTTTTGCCGAGGAACAGACACTACTGTAGAAAAGAAATACCTATATCTTGTCACAGGAAGTATTTAGAATAGCCAAGTAAAAACTAATGGCTTTGTCTTGTAGTTTCTGAGGGGGGGGGGGCGCTAATATTCTTGTTACCCTGGAAAGATGTGCTTAACATGCAATGGGTATTAATATTTAACCTCACAGTAGGAAAATGCATGTGAAGTGCTGTTCCACCCACTCATCCAAAAATAACCACTCTTCTCACCATCCCACTTACTGTAAAGGAAGCCAGACAAGTCTATTTGGAGAAAAGAGTTGCTAATATATCCCTAGATCCACAGAAGGTTTCAAGGGCACTGATTCTAAGTTAGAAGGAAGAGTGGTCATACTTATGGTGCTATGCAAACATCAGAGCTTGCAGCATTGTCCAGTGCAGAAATTATTTTAGGCAAGATCAAGGCAAGATTAAAGCAACATTTTTATGGACATTTTATCAGATATATTTTTGTATGTATTACACAAGGTACATAAGAATAAAAATATGGAAAAAAACCCACAGATGAGCAAAGCCTCCTGTTTGAAGCAACAATACTTTGGTTACAAGAGTCTGAAATATAGCTTTCAAGAGGAGCCAGCAATCCTCCTACGCACAGGCAGGGCATTCTAGATTTTAAACTGTACATGTCAGACTCCCAAGAATAACAGCCTCCTGCCTGCCTTTGTTTTGCATGATACTCTAATCACAGCCTTCATTTGTAGTAATAACGACTGCAAGGACCAGAATTCTTTACGAAGTGCATCCAAACCCAAATCTCTCTGGCAATGAACAGCTTGAAGCACAACTCAGCAAGACATTCTGAGGAACTACTTCCACTGCTTCGTTTAGGTGCACGACTAAACATTGCAAAGATGGATCACGAAAAAAAGAACTGCACGCAGAAGCTGGAGGAAGGTAAGAGAGCAAGGTGTGTAACTCAGAAACAGAGAAGAAAAAAAATACAATGGCACATCTTATTTTCTTTTGCAATGAGAAAGAAGCATCCAATTAGCATTTTAACAAGTTTTTACTGCAAAACCAAAGCTGTAACTTTTACGAATGTTTCAGAACACCGGTCAGTACTTCCTGTGTCCTCACAAACACTTAAATCCTTGGGCTAAAGAGGGCTTCTTGTCAGAGATAACAGCATAGATGCTCAAAGGCCTTAACTGGAAAGACCAATAAAAGGACATAACGATGAATACTATTTGTTGCCAGAAACTGACTCTGACCTCTACAGCATTTATATATTGTGTAACTTATTCCGTATTTTTCACTCTCTGGATGTGTGACACTTAAGTGCTGCTTGTCAGCTGAAGTTTTGCACCTTGGTCATTTTAGATGTAAATAAGCACAAAAATGAACACATCTGCATTAAACTATCTACAAACAAACGAGAAAGAGCCACAAAGTACAGACAAAATTATTAAAAGACCCTCCAAAGCCATGAATTCAATTCTAAATAGGTCCCATAAGAACCAGCAAGGAAAAGGTGAGAGAGAAACATGACAGCCATTAAAAAGCCACTTACACTCTGCAATGCTGAGTTCTATTCTTCCTTTGGAAACAAATTGAGAGCACACAGAGAGCTGAGATACTTCACTGCTTCTCATGCTTTATTTTTATTTTTTTTTTTTAAATGAACATTTTGAAAGCAGCATATTTTTCAAAACACTACACGTGTAGCAACTAATTTCTTAAATTCAGCCAGCCAGAAATATATGTATTCAAATTCCTAGCTACTGCAAGGTTTCCCTGTGACTGAATCCATCATTTGTACATCACATAAAGTAGGAATAGCTCCAAGAGTCTCTAGTATACTCTGAACTTCAAACAAAACTAAAGCAGTGCCCCCAGCACATTTAGGATGAAAACAGGGGAAATGAACGACATTTAATGAATTCCTAGGAATTCATGTACGCATACCTAACTTCAACACCCACCCCCTCACAAGGTGGGAACTGAGCAGAAAAGGAGTGACGCTCCACACAGTCTAAGGCGTATAACTATTTGGTAACATTCAACTTTCAGGCAGAAGAATATGTACGTCTATGCTTTATCTGTGCATGAAAAGGAAAAACAAAAGAACACCAGAACATAAGCGCTCACAAACCATTTTCTCACCTGCAGGACTACTGAGATCTGCTACCCAAACTGGGAAGAACAGCCACAGTATGATTTGGAGACATTGTTAATAGCAAGATTTCTTTCAGCAGGCATACTAGGATATTTAAAAGCTATCATTTTTCCCCTTCTAATAGTACCTCAGAAAGCTAGAAGTTATTTCCTATATAATGAAGTGTATGAAGGAAACAAAAAAAGTCCATTTCAACAATCCAGCAAGCCAAAGAAAAGTAGGTAAGAAATGCCACACAGAAATTGAAAAATTGGATTGCCCTGCCCTGCCAAAAGCAATTACACTAACCAGGACTTCACCATGTTTCCTTCTTTCATCTAAAGGTGACTACATCTCCCTAGAAAACTGCTACTGCTTAAGAGAACTGCTCTTTCAATTCTTGGCTCTCCCCAACCCCACACCCCCTTTTTTATTTTTTAATTTGCTAATCATTTTCTGAAGGCAATATATGGCTTAGTGAGGGGAAAAAATGTTCATTACTTGTTCCTAGTAGCAGTCATTCAGTTTTTAATGTTTATTCTTATCCTGGCATTTTTTAGTCAAGGAACTCCAGAGGTCTATTAAATGTGGCAAGAAAATCATCCTCATTAATGAGTGACAAAAGCAACGGGACAAAAATTATATGCTCTGACAGTAGACACAGATGATGACACAGCAGAAGCATGGATGTAAGGCAAAATACTTTTATATGTTCTACAGGGCAAGCTCCTCTGTTCCTATTGCCATTTCATCTTCCAAATATTCTTTCTGTTTCTCGCCCTCAGTTCTGAGCACTCTTCTCAGCAGAGATGCCCTCCTACTCGTCCTGACTGTAGTGCTGGACTTCAGGTCATCGTACAAGGCTCCTTATTAGCCCACTCCTGCCCTCAAGTGTACCTGCTCCCTCCATTTGGTGACTTCAGCAAGTAAGGGTGCCCTCTGTCACCTCCTCCAGGCCACTACTGTTAAACAGGGTATTGCAGGCTCCCACAGTGCCACACCTGTCACCAGCCTCCACGTAGAGTACAACTTAACTACTACTTTCAGAGTCCAAACAGATTTTTTCCCACATCTGTCCACCCATCTAACATCCCAACTTGGACACATGCATACACCACATTGAGAGCCTTGCTAAAGTAAGGCAAATGGCCATTGCTACACCTCTTTCACTCACAAATCTATCATGGAAGGCAAGTGGGATGATCAGTCATGATTTCACCTTGGCAAATCCATGCTGACTGCTGCCAATCTCCTCCTATTTCACATACCCAAAAATGTGTTCCAGAAGGGCCCAACCCAGGATTTTTCCAAGGAGCACAGTGGAGTTGATTGGTTTACGGTTCCCTAGATTGTCCTTTGGCAGATGGGTGCAATATTATTTGCCTTCCTTCCATTGCTGCAGATTTCCCACACTTTCTGTGACCTTTTAAAGATAGAACAACTTTGCAAGGATATCAGGCAGCTTTTTCAGCATCCTCAGATGCGACCCATCATGTCCCGTGGTCCTGTAAGGGTCAGATTTTCCCAGCTGATCTCCAACTTTATCTTCATTCATTGCTTTCCCTCGTTTCAAATACAGAAGTTTAAGATCTTGATAGCAGGGACTGAGGCAAAGGCAGCATTGGGGAACTGCGTCACTCACAGCTCACAATGGGGAATGGGTTCAGTCACCCAGTTCAGCTACAGGACCACTTGTTCTCTGTTGATCAGTGCCACACTGGAAAGCTTTGGACTGCCAAATACCACCTCTACATGTCTGGCCAATGTTTCTGGCCTCTTCCTTTGTGGCCAGCACCTGTTCCTACCTCCTGTATACTTCCCCCCAACTCCCCACCCCCCCAATATAGTGGGGTCAAGCGTTCCCTGAGAAGCCCACACAGTCCCTGGCAGATCTATCACCATTCCTAAACTGTTATTTCACTTGGAAGATGCTATCCTCGGTGTTCTGCCCATCTTCCTAGACTCCTTTAAAGAGTTGTCTCCCAGGGATTCCACCTCCCCCTTTCTTGCACGCCCCCCAGGGTCTGCTTTCATTGCCTTCCTCACTTTTTTCAGGATCTCAAGCTCCAGTATTGTAAAGCCACAAAAAGCAGAGGGTGACACTATTTATTACTGGAATGGTGCACAATTCAGAACTGATCGGATAGACAAGAGTTAATTACCTCACAATTCTCGTTGCTAGAGTAACAGCACCACATTTCTATTTATTCGAATTATCAGTTCCAGGAAAGACACAAAGGATGTCTTCTATCTGAAGTTCACAGAACAATAAGCAAACCATTAAGGTTAATTCTGGATGCATTAGGACTAGCACCTAGCTCGTTATAACCCAATTAAGGGCATTTGGAACTTCTCTCTCGCCTTTCACCTCTTCATCAGGAGGTATGGGGAATAATTTGAAAACTGTAATCACAGAAACTTGTGGGAGCTTAAGTTCTGCATTCTTCTCTTTCTGCTCAGATTTCACTATCTTGAAGCATAGTAACAAACACTTTTAGAAGTTTTTGTACTTACATTAATATGGTACTGAATAAATATTTCAAGAATGAATTCTCTCCTTCATAAGAGCTGAAACATGAAACTTTTATTTTACTGACTTCTGAAAATAATCCAAAGATTACAGTTCGGTACATTCTGAAACATCAATGCAGCCATCAGCTGGAGAACTGAGAACTCAGCTGTATTCCACAGCAGAAAAAAACCCTTTACCACTAATAAGTAGACCTTGTTACCCCATTACAAAGCTCCCTGATGCCCTGAAGTCTGGTAAATCTCAGTCTTCAAGGTTTATTGATCTTTAACAGGCAGAACAACCACCTTGAAACAAACAGAGTTATGCAAGGAAATTCAGCGATGAGAGCAAGCTCTTAAGTAGGAGGGTCCAGTGATCCTGGCAGAAGGCTCTCAAATGGCTTTACAGCAACTTTTAGCAGGCTTCCAATCAAACCAACAACTGGCATTTTCTAAAATACTCATCAGCACACCTGAGTTTGCTCACAAGTGTGTTGAACCTTTTTTTTTTCCTCCCCTCCTATCATTCCAAAGATGGAACTACTCAATTCTAAGATCCAATTCCTTAAAAAAGAATGAAATTCATTTCCTCTCACAGTTAGTTGCTATGGAGATAGTACTGCACAACCGGACCTCTGCTGGAACAAGATGTAAAAAACTAAAAAAGCTCTTATTTTTGAGAATCACTTGTTCAAAGACACACGCAATAAGGAGGCCGTTTACATAATAGGCAACTAATCAGAGACACGTCCAAGATTTGCATCTCCATGGAACGTCTAACTTCCCGTTGTTCCTGAGAATATTGGGATTATTCCCAGTACTCCTGTCCCCTCAAATAATTATGACTGGTTTCAGTCACTTTAAATGAAAGAAAGTCAGCACTAATTTCAAGGAACACGAATCTTTTAATTGTTGATGCAAAGGAAAAAAACAACATCCATATTCCTGATACACTGCTTATGCCTCCAAAAGAATACTAACAGACCAACAACACTGCCACCACGCTTTTTGATAGAACATCTGCTTTTTTGCATTGAATGACTACTTGAGTTCTCACTGGGTGGAAAAAAACATGGAGCTATCCTTTGAGACAGTGACACTTTACATTCCCCTGTGCATCCTGTCATACCTCCACTGCTCGCTCCATTGCATTTGGAGAGAGATGGTTACGCACCGAAACATTATCTTGCACACAGAGATGTGGTGAAGGAGGTTACTAAGGAAAAAAAATAAAGTAAAGCTGCACTGGCCACTACATAATTTCTAACCCAATGATGTAGCTAAACACTCTTAAATTTGCACTCCATCCATTAAGAAATGGAACTATGGCACTTCTTTTTAGAGAGGATGCAACCTTAAAACACCTTCCTGTAGATAATGAAGATTTTCTTCCCTTAACTCCAGTAAACGACAGTTTTATCACTGTAACAAGAACATGAACAATCAAAAGTTGCATGTAAGATGAAAAACTGCAGTCTGGAGAAACTGCTGGTTATTTCAGTGAAACAAGAAAGAGAAAAAAAACGTATGGCTGTCCTGGACATGAAAATTTTCAGTTACTGAAAGATTTGCTCAGATCAGGTGCACTTTCCAGCCATCGAGTAATTCCTCTTCCTCGAATGGTACTGGTTCCATAAGGAAAACTCTTCCCATCACATGAAGAATCACCTATTAAATTAAATACAGTTTACAAATGAATTGTATATGGGTGGAATGTATTCAATATTTCTAACAGGAAGAGAGAGAGACACGGGTTCTGTCCTTCACAAACATCAAGTCCATATAAGATCTCATGATTTATATTTGGAACAGTTTCAGCATTTAATTCAGTGCGTATTGTCTAAGCAAAAACATAAGCTGCAAACTCAGAATTCTTAAGTTATCTGTCTTGCAAACTTAATTCTGCTCCTCTTTGAAGGTTAGTCACATATTGCACAAATGAATTGAATGCACATACTTTACACTAGAAAGATTTTAGCTCCAAGAAGATGACTTGAAACAAGCACTTTTTTTAAAGATCCAGGAGTAACAGAATGCTTACTACAGGTACCATTTGTATCTGCACATACAACTCCAAAAGAGAGATGGTATTTTAAAGATAGCCTTGCCTTAAGGTATCCAAACATGCTAGAAAGAACTTCATATGACAGAAATACAAGGTTTTATAAATCAGATAACAACATTTATGAGAAAATCTGATTTTGGATAGACTTTCTGACCATAGGTTTTTGTCTAGTAACAAAAGTGCAGCTATTTCATCTTCAGAAACTCAGAAATCTGCACTATGTACCATTATAAACCCAGCTCATGCAGAGCTGAATAGGCTTTATGCCACTGACAGACAGTAACTTCTGAGCCCAAAAATTTGAAAAAACTGCAATTGGATTATGTTTAAATACTCTTTTTCCCTTTACAAATGGGGAAGTCTCAAACTCACAACTAGAAGGGACAAGCTCTTGAACTCCACTTGGAGAAAGGATGTGTCTGTCACTTCCAGAACCCTTGGCCTTTAATTCCTGCAGGAAGAAATAAACATTCAAAATAAGAGAAGTCTTCTCTGAAGTGACATGTGCATAACTACTCACGATACCTGTGAGTCGTATTCAAAAACCATCACAAGGTACAACCCAGCCAGACATTATTTTTCTTTTCTCAGTCTGCTAAGTATACCTTAAAACAAAGACAGCATCCAAAAAGGAAGATGGCTAACCTCAAATTACCAAGTGCGTTCTGTCTACAGTATTTGAGTTAACCAGAAATAACACAGGAAAACAATTTAAAGAAACTGACCTGAAAACGTCCAGCATCCAGTATTACCCGCCTGAGGTTTGTATTTCCACTGGAAACACTGTCTTTAAGAGGCAGGTGAGCAGCCGTCAGCGAGACTCCGTACACACCAGCTAACGATTTACTGATGCAATAACTTGACCAGGAAAATAAAGAAATCAAAAGAAGTTTTGTTAAGAAGGCTGTAACGCTTGCATACGGAAGCACAGCATTCTTAGATCTTCAACTGACAAAGCCACCACAGATCAACACACAGAGATGACAACAGAGGGAAAAAGGACACTGACGCAGCAGCTAACAACCCTGTATCTTTCCAAGTTCACCGGAATATTCTACAACTACATGTGAAATTAACACAGTCACTTCCCCCTGCTGTCAAATGTAACCACTTAGAAGCATGAAATGCACTGCTGAAAGTTTGCTGAACACTGTTTTGGGTTTTTTTTTGAAAATTAAAGACTATTAATTATGACTTCTCTCAAGTAGCATTACTACTATTGACTGAGATCTTGAACTGCATTTCTTTCCCAACTACCACAGAATCACAAGGTTGGAAACGACCTGCAAGACCATCTAGTCCAACCACCCTCCCATTCCTATCAGTGCCACAAGCTACTAAACCATCTCTTGTAGCTCCTCATCCAAGCTACTTACTTATCTTTCCCCCAGCCTAAAATAGAGAAGCTTGTCTATCTACATTATATGTAAAACAGCATAATCATCAAATCATAGAACAGCTTGGGTTGAAAAGGACCACAATGATCATCTAGTCTCAGCCCCACTGGAGATGGATTAAAGTATACTGAGAATCTCCCACCAAATTGAAGTGCAGTAAACCTCTGAAGAAAAACAGCGAATTCTAACATAAGAACATTTATTTCAGCTCCCAACAGTAAGTGGAGGTAGTGATTACTATAAACCAAGTGATGGATATTATTATCACACACATACACTGTACTGAATTGCTAATACAGCATACTGCTTTACAGTATTAGCACAAAAAACAAAACCAAAGATAGAATAAAGTCCTGGAAGCGGAAGAAAGAAATAAAACTCAAGCTTTAGAATCACAGAGCTCAAAACAGCCAGGACCAAAAAGCGTGCCCAACAAAATGGAATGTCATCATACTGTAGATAACCTCTGAGAAATACTCACGCGATTTTCTTACAGGATGCCAAAGCACAGCAAAGTATATCATTCTCTTCATGCCATTCACACCTTCAGAAAATTAAATTGAGGTTTATTGTGTAAGTATCTACATCTCCAATTGACACAAACACTTGGTCTGACCAGAAGCAATAGGAGCAAACATTAAAGGTTATCTTTCGTCTCAGTGACCACCAAATTAAAATTACACAGCTGATGACCATCAAGTAACAGATCTGGGTGATTTATGTAGAGTTGAGAACTGTGCTTAACTGACGACTTTTCACATTCCACTGAGGTGGAGAGGACAAAGGAGAAAAGAAAACCCCTACGAAATTCATTTAAAAATCATTAGAAGTTTCCCACTACTGTAAACAGCAACAGTGATTACTCAGTGATCTCAAAGCCCACAGTCTAAGCAGACTTTCAGGCATAGGTATTAGTAGATGTAAAAAACAAACAAACAAAAAAAAAACCACCAATTAAGATCAAATTACTAATTCTTCCTTAAAACAATAACACAGGAAAAGCTGAAGTATTCTTCTAAATTAACTGCATCAGTGCTAAATATTCTCCCACAAACCTCTAACTGCTGTATAAACATATAAGGATCTGGAAGTTGTAAAAACATTAATGTTCAAGACACACAGGGAAAAGAAGAAAAACAATCCTACCAAGTATCTGTATTCTAGCATTACAAAAAGCATTCCTTCAGGAAGCCAAGAGATTTAATTTACTCTTCTGCTTGTTTTCTGCCACTAGAAAGCACACCAAGCTCACCATCACAGCTGCAATATGAGGTACATAGTAAAAGACAGCTTCTCAAGAGACTGAAACCTTTCACTTGTATGATGTCACATATCACAGTATATTTTTCTTCTTCAATCTTCCTTTAAATCTACAGGCCCAGCAATACAGAGCCACTGGTCTTTATCTCTTCCCCACCCCCCCCCCCGAAAGATAGTACTTCACATTTCCTGTTGAAGCCATGCTGTGATAAGAAACCTTTTGATGAGCTGGTTTGCTGAAGATTGTGCACAAGCCACACGTAAGGCGCCAAGGCACATCAGGACAACAGCCATTTCCATAGAAAAAGAACCCAACATACCTGGTATTACTGGAAAAATCCCACAGGACAACATCTAGCTCTCTAGATACCCAAGTCTTGGATGGCTCCTTATGGTATTTCTTCTGGTACAGTTTTATTACCAGATCTTCTACAGTAAGAAGCTCCAGAGGGCTCTCAACACCTATAACTCAGAAGAAATCCACGTCAGCAGAACATTCACCCACTTCTCAGCCAGTCTCTGTTCACTGACCACCTTCTTCTACGAATCTCCAAGTTCATGTAAACCTCATCAAATATTCTATCAGTCTCATTATTAAGATCTGGCATCTCAGCAAGGCAGGTCCTATACCCTCTCAGTTTTCTCCACCGTATCTTACCTACAGGCCATCTTTCCTCAGAAGTTGTTAGTTCCTCCATCTATTACCCTACACTCACCTTCTCACTTATCTCACTGCTTCCACTGCTCCTTTAACTGGCTGACCAACAAACACCATATGTTGTTCTCTTCACGTGCTCATAAGCCAGTTATGGCTGACCACGCATTCATGGGGAGGAAGAGAAGAGGGAGAAGCATGCACAGCATTTCTAGCTATCAGTATGAGATTTTATCAACTCATTCTGACAAATACAGGGCTCCATCATCAGATAAGCCTCCTTTCTTGGAGAAACAAAAGCCAAAAATGATTGGGTTCCCACCTGCCACGCTGGCCATTCGTTCAAGACACCAGCTGATTCGAAACCTGTCATCAGACTAGAAAAAAAGAAAGTTTCAGTCACATTCAAGAACTGCCTAAGTGCATTATACAATTCTAATATCTGCAAGACCTCTGGCTGCACCTATAGAAGGCCTTTCCAAAACAGAAGCCCTTGCACACAACCTTCCAAAAAATTACCTTGAAGAGGAATCAAATACCAAGACAGCCTTCCAAGCAAATCTCAGAAGAAATAACTAGACTAATACGTGGAGACAAGTTAACAGTTAACATATACTACAGCCATCTCCGTTAACTGCTGTATGTTATTCATATGCACCTTATGTGTGGAGCCCAACATCTAAATCCTCCACTCCTGCTATGAATTTACTAACATTAGGCCCAAGGGGAATAAAACAATTATACTTATAGTCGTCACGAGATTTAAATTCCTCTGAACCCCAACGTTTTGTTTGACTCACTGGCAACTCAATGAAACGAGCAAACATAAGATGTATGGTATTCTCATGTGAAAAGTCATTAAAGCGTAAAAAAACCTTAGAGAAGTGAGATTATCTGACTATTATCCAGCACAGTCAAGTTAAGCACAATCTTAAAAACTCAAAACAGTGTCAGAACATTCTGAAATGTTCACCACTAGACTAAGAACCAGACGTGCATGTTGTGAATAAGAAGGCAGAAAACTCTGCCTCTCTGATTTATAGGAAGGCCAGCTTCAATTTCTAACAGCACAGGAGTTTGTATGAGTAGGTAGGTGGGGAAGCAAAAAAAAAAAAAATACAAAAAAAGGAAGTTTGTTTATTTAGTTTCCGTATCATTTTTGATCCATACCAAAAATCTGGAGTTGATCCAAAAAAAACCAACAAAACAAAAACAAGTTTTGATTGCCAAACTTCCAAGATCAGGTCATTTCTTTCTATAATGGAACAAGGAAACTTTGGGAAAGAGTGTTTCCCTTCCCACTCCCCCCATCCCCACGCAATCACTCAGTTGTGCACAGAATATGCAGAAAATGCTTCACAGCAAATTCTCTCCTTGACTGCCCACTGGAAGAGGATTTAGGTTTTGGTTTTGAGTTTTACTTTGACCTCAATCATACCTTGCAGTAAAAACGAGGGCAAACACCTCTGGCTGGCTGGGCAAACTGAATAAGTTCACGTATGACAACTGGGTAGCAAGTACGCGAGAGATGAAATCCAGATATAGGAATCTTATGAGTGGCATCACCTAACAAAAGGTGAAGTGGAAAAACTTATGAGAAATTCTGTTTCTTAAAATAATACTATTTCACCCTCCTTTGTAATTTTCATTTATGTATACATGTACTTAAACACACACACACACACAGCTTTGCTTCCCTACACGCAGCATGTGTAATTAAAGTTATCAAAACCTTATTTCTTGCAAAAGACTGGCAGTCTGGGCTGTGAGCAGACACATCCACATTTACCCCTTCTGAATGGCCATTACTTAAATATCTGATATAGGATAATACGGGCCAAGTTTGTTCTCTGCACACACAAGGGGAGGAAGTGTACTAATAGAAATAGACAAATCTATAAACACTGCTTAACAAGGGAAACACAGCAGTGAAGAGCTCTGCCATTTGAGAGTACGAGAAATAAGCAGGGTGACTCCAACAAGCTGTTCTGTCATCCCTTCCTCTTCAAAACGTGAGAGGAAGTCCACAGGAGAAACTTCCAGGGAAAAGTTACAAAACAACTGGATACAGATCAGATAAGCAGAGTCCAAATCTGTAAACCATTGCATACCACTCTTCTTCTCCACTGATACTCACTAGCAGCCTGGCAGTGGTACCGATAACCACGTGGTGGTACTTCTGCAGAAAAACATGAGGGATGGAAGAAAAAGAACAACCATCATCCATCACCGCAGCGGCAGATCTTCAACTCTGAACTAGGCAGTGCATTTTGATTTAGAGCAAGGAGCAACTTCACCTTCCCCAATGGCCCTGTACAAGCACCACAACTATTTCTGAAAAAAATATTTTCAGTTGCATTCATTTAAAGAAGAGTACACTGCACTGCATTCATGTGTTAAGTCTGGAACAAACACTCCTTGATATGAAACAAAGCACAAACACCACAAGTGCCCCCCGGATTTATCCTGCCCTCTTTAAAGCTTCACGCAGTCCCAGTACTTCAGTACACAGTCAAAAAACAAGCAGAAAACAGCAATGCTCCGTTACTGAAAGTAGAAGTCTAATCACTTGTAGTCAAAGAAGTATCTTAATACCAGAAATTTAATCAGTGCAGCAGTAACAGACACTAGAGAACTTCCCTCTCAACCCAGAGCAAGATGAACGACCTCCAGGCTACCCTTCCTTGGAAATCACCTGAATCTATGAAGTGATGGAACTCAGCCATTATGCCTTCCTGCAGGGAGTACCTGACACACCCAATTTCACAAGGGAGGAAGCGCTGGTCACAGTGGGACGGCAGCTTGCCATGGCTGTAAACATTGAGGAAATAGAAGACGTCTGCAAGCACAGCTGAGAGGAAAAAACAAAAATATTACATAATATGTATTATAATCTGCTTATATAAGTATATACAATGTTAAGAGGCCTAGAATCCAACACCAAATACTACTCCTTTTTGCGATGGGTCTGTTTACCCCTCAGGAAAAAAAGCAATCAGTAATTGCTAAGTACTTCCACAAGCTCCATTCAGTAACTTATCAGGTAAGTTAAATGAACTGGTAACCTTTGTGTAAAAGGAGAAGGGAAGAATTCTGCTAACTTGAAAGGATCATTTGTCCTCACGAGCTCCCAAAGAAGGCAAGAATATCTAAGGAAAGCATTACAAAACAAATATCTTTTACTGATTTTGTAAGACCAAACAATACAAAATACTTCACATTAATTTATGCCTAATAGTCACAAATCCTACATAATATAATACATCCTACATAAGTTCTTCCTTAAGTTTAAGATAATACCTACCCTCAAAGTCTGCCCCTCATCAAAACCTTTACTTGTTCTACTAAAATGATGCAGTGGGCCAGATTTGATGGTGTTCAGCACCACCTGTCCCAAAATGAGTTCTGGCACTACCTTACATGGATCTTAATCTCTACAAGCTGCAGTGGGAAAGAAGAGATACCACCTGAGTGGAAATCTCTTCACATGGAAAAAAAAAAAAAAAAAAAAAAAAAAAAAAGAAAAAACCCAACAAACTAACCTAACATAGACAACCATGCAGAAATATTAAGAAACAGCATCATAAAACACATCTCAGACTCAGTTGAAAGACTGGTTATGGCAGCTCAAGTCACCATGATCAAATTTACATTGTAGTGATAGCTGAGAACAGATTCTGGCAGTGTGAAAGCTAATAGGCATTACACTTTTTTTAAACAGAGCTACTCTTTTCTGGCCCTCTATAACCATAACATGTTCAAGAGATTAGTTAGTTAACAGGCTTGAGCAGAGACCTGAACAAACAGCAAAGATATAGCTTCTATTAACTGGCTACTTAACTTATATTCCAAGCACCACCATATATCATTTTCCAGAATAAAATACTACCAGATGTGTTTGTTACTTATTTCTAATCAAAACATCCATTTGAAGACAACATACAGACAGGAAAGTTTGGTTTTCAAGGGTTCATTCAACAAGGAAACTAGCCAGGATGTGCTACATAAGTAGTGTAGTGTTCACAAGCACACAAGCATCCACTCTTATTTCACTGAGAAGGCCACAAAACCATTTTAATGCAACACCTATATGATATAGAGTTTGAGCTCCTTGCCCTTGGATCTTGATACAAACATTCTATTATCCTGAACTTGGATTAGGCCTTGTAGATCACAAGTGTCAGAGCAGAAAGCTTTGAGAAAACTAAACAAAAGTATTAGTAGCTATGCTCCCATTAAGCTAAAAGAAAAACAGAAGACAGAATTATTTCAGGGGATGCAGAGGAGCATTTGAACTGACTTCCCTCCAAGCAAGGAAGGCCTACATCATACTAAGAACATGCACACATTTGACACAGTAACTACTGACAGAATGAAAACAATCTTTGCATAGGTACCACCCAGAATATCTTCACAAGCCAAGCTTTCATCTAGCAGCACCAATTGCTATAAGATTACCATACCCTGATCACTCATCCACGATATAGCAGAGGCATCAAGAAGAGATGTCACTCTGTACATTTCTGAACTCGCGCCAGCAGGCACTGGATTATTACACATCTAGAAAAGATGAAAAAAATTCAAAATCAATCAAGTTAATTAACCTCCAATAAAGCTCACCACGTCCTATCACAGAAACATGGGATGTCCAGTGCTCACTGCAGCTAGGTGCAACGAATCTTCATATACAAGTGTCTGCAGACTTGCAGATTAAGGCAACATTACCAACCATTTTATTGTCACTTCAGTACCTCAACCTGCACAGTTGGAAAGAACTACAGCTAAATTTCTGAATGTAATAGAAGAATTAAAAAGTACTATTTTGTTAAAGTTTAACTACTTGTTGCACTGAAGAAAGTTTTCAGACTGAAATTTTCAGCAATTCCCATAATTTTGACCTCCCCCTCCCCCCCCCAAAAAAACAAACAACTGAGCCACTCATTTGCCTTTGATTAGGAAAGGTCTTCATGAAAAGCTGAGAAATCCCCAAGTCATCAGATTGTTCTGCTACTGTGCAATCAAGAGGGGCTCTCAGGCCTATTAGTAAAGCACTGCACATCCACACAAACATTAAGCTTTTTGGGTGGCAGAAAGATTTGGGCAGATGCCCAGAAACCAGAGAGGCTGACACAATGCAATCTAGGCCTAAACTGCAAATAACATCCACATCCAGATACATGAATTCCAGATAATTGTCCTTGCCTGACAAGGGCTGTTACCAGTTTACACCACTAAAAAGGAGGCATGAGTCCCATTGAAGCAAACACCACTTCCCAACAGGCGCTCCTTTCTGAGCCTTTACCTCCTTCTCCGCCTTCTGAAAGGATTTCTTTTCATTCCACTTCTGAGCCTTGTCTGCATAGAACATCCTCTCCTCCTCCGCCAGCAGCTTCAAGCAAAGCGAATTGTCAACGAGTTTTTACCGCTTCCTTCAGTAATCCCACAAATCAACAGAACATTTGGACGCTTCCAAAGGGAGGCTGTCAATATTTCGCAAACACTGATAGCTATTACCACCCAACCAAGCGGTAGTTTTTCGGTAGTTCCCCCCCTCGCAAAGCCACCCGGCTTAACGCAGGACAGCTGATGAACACATGCCCCCGCAGCACCTTCCGATAGCCCACAGGCGCTTTTACCCCGCTGATTTCTTCTCCTGAGCCCGCTCCCCTAGCCAGGGGTGCCTCCCCCTCCTACCCCTCTCTCCGAGGCGAAACATCGTTCACCCCAAGCCCTCTCCCTGGAAGGACGGCCCTTCCCCTCACCGCCCACTCCTGGGTGAGGTGGGGAAGGCCATCGACCACTCGGGTTACGGGCAGGCCGCGCTGCTGCAGCACGGGCAGCCGGTCACGCACGAAGAAGTAGTAGGCGCTGCGGGAACGCTGAGAGCGCGACATGGCGGACGCCCGCCTCGCCTCCACTGCCGCGACGCGACGGCGCTGCCGTGGGGCGGCCCGGGGATCGACGGGCCGGCAGGGGCGGAGTGCTGGCCGAGGAGCGCGTGCTCCTGCTTTCCTTTTAACGTGTGCGTGGTGCCGCCTCCTGGAGGTCGGTGACGGCCGCAGACAGCCCGTGCCGGCGTGCTGCATGGTGGGCGCCTGAGGGTGTCGGCTGTCGCAGAGCGTGGCAGGTGGCTCTTCTTTTCGTTCTTCCTTCGGACTGTTTGTGACTGTGAGCATTGAACGTCAGGTTCAATAGGTCTTCCGGCATCTGCCAAGACGGAAACCAAACAAAAATACGGTCTGCTATTGCCGGTGACTGCATGTGGTCCTCATCTGGACACAGTGCTGTGTTCCCAAATGACAATGAGGGCTTTCCAGTGAGGAGCACTTCAAGAGGTGTGCGCTGCCAAGGGGAGCACAGGACTGCAGTGAGGGGCAGGGCCCTGTGGGCTCTGAAAGGCAGTAATGGCCTCAGCAGTCCCCTAGGACTCAGTGCACATTGTGCCCCTGAGCTGGAGCTCCATTTAAGCTCGGGCCTGGGCACCAAACAAAGAGCAGCCTCACACAAGAGGCCTGAGCTTGGGTTTGAGATACACAGCAGAAGAGTGGAGGAGCTGAGATGGCGTGCGTTTGCTTGGAAAGGCAAACTTGCTTATTAAAAATACTTCAGGAGCTCACGTGTAAAGGCCACAGAAGGGATCCCAGGGATGGAAGCCCTCCCCTACGAGGACAGGCTGAGAGAGCTGGGGCTGTTGGGCCCCCACAAGAGAAGGCTCTGGGGAGACCTGAGAGCGGCCCTTCAGTTTGTAAAGGGAGGCTGTAAGAAGGAAGGGGACAAACTCTTGAGCAGGGTCTGTGGTGATAGGACAAGGACAAATGGTTTCAAACAAAAAGATTTAGGGAGAAGTTTATTACAATAATGACGGTGAGGCACTGTAACAGGTTGTCCAGAGATGTGGTGGATGTCCCGTCCCTGGAGACATCCAAGGTCAGACTGGATGGGGGCCTGAGCACCTGCTGGAGCTGTAGGTGTCCCTGTTCATTGCAGGGCAGTTGGACTGGATTTCTTTAAAGAATCAAACTACTCTATGATACTGTGTTTTAAAAACTGAGGCAGCTGTATAGACTCGTTTTTTTTCCTATTTAATCTATCTCATTGAGTACCTGATGCTTCTTTCACTGAACGTTTGCATGCTGAGCCACAGTTCAAATAAGATAAAAACTGGAAACAATCAAATATACATCATTGTGGTGAACAGCATGAGTTGCTTCCTCCCTTAAGCTTTCTGTTGATCTCTCTCAAAAGCAAAGTGATTCTCACTGGCCATAATATATTAAAAAATCTAGGGAAATTAACAGGGCAACAACCACAACTGTTGCTCTGAAGAAAATTTAATCAGTTAACAGAAGGGATTGTGAAGTATGATTGCGTGCAATAGAAGACCATAAGTTTGATCTGAATCAGGGTAACTGAAATGGCAGTGTCAGTATAAGATCTGATTAAATTCTGGCCAAGTTTTTCTTCTCCTAGATGTGTGATGTCTACCACATTCCTTACTGTTCCCTTTATCTACGGGGACCATCTTGATGGGGAATCATCTTCCGGATGCGGTAGCAGTTCCTGCAGAGTCTGCCTGGTGTAGCAGAAGAAGAGTCAGCTCACTGCTTCTCATGCAGCCACCTTAATTGAAGGTACCCCAGCCATCTCAATAAACATGTAACCCTGGCTTGGAAGATTCTTTCCAATCCTCTACCGCAGAGTACACTTGAATTTACTGTAAAACTAGACCTGAGGATCAAAAATACTGCTGAAGACTTTCATGAATTTCCAAATCATTGGACAGCTTTGCCTTTTCCCCTCAGTCTAACTTTCTTCATTTTCTGTCTAGGTAACCGAGTCTGTTTAGCTCCAGAGGAGGTAGTCACTGTCTAGGCTGGAATTAATTGAGCTAATTGTGTTTGTCACTGCTGGAATTGCTAGCAGATATGGACTGATCAGATTGCTTTTGCATCTCACTGGTGGCTGGTTTCTCTGATGGTTAAAAAAAGCTGACGCAGTTTAGTTTTCTGGAAGCTCTTCTGTCGTGCTCAAATCCAGTGAAACAGTTTATTTTATGCTGTTTGTGAACCACTTAATAGATTTGCTGTTAAATTTACAGGAAGAGCCAATCGGGTTGCTAAAAACATAGAAAATCTTGATGTGAATTCGATGAGAATAACTTTTAAAAGTCACTATCGCTCTTGTGCAAAATCATTTATATCGCAGGCTAGTTCCTGATATATTAATACCAAATCTTTCAAGAGAAACTGCAAGAAATAACTCGTGTCTTTTAGGAACTTCTGCAGAGTCTAGTTTTTTATCCCCAAAGGTGAATATTATTGTTGTATTACTGTGTGAGTTGTTGCTAAGAGTGAATCTGTGCACATTTGCTTCAGTTTTCTTCACACTGTGTTCTTTTTTCTTGCGCAGTTTTGTGACCCACCCTTTAACAGCCCATCCCTTTAAAAAAATCAGATAATGTGTGCATCAACTCTTTGAAAAAGACAAGGTTGCAGTAATAGTTCTCTCAGGGCTAGAGGTGGGGTTATATGGAAAATAAAATTCATAAGCACTGAGGAGAGAAAGGATTTTTCTACACAAGGTTGAGGAAGAGAAAAAAAGAGAGAAGAGATCATCTTTGGAGCACGATGTCATCAGTGTTCTTGGCCTTGGCCCCAGGAAAATCCCTCTGTGATTTAAACGGAAAGTCATGTTTTAACTATGCAATTGTCTGCTGTTCAACTTAGCTGACAAAAGAGACCTTTAGACCATTTATGCTGATTTGTAAATAACTTTTGTAGCATTGGGGCCATTCAGGGAATAAAAGCAAAGGTTGTGCCAAAGTTTATACAATACTATTTCACTAAAGTACTTAATTCAGTTAAATTACTTGATATGCCAAGACCTGACTTTTACATCTATGGCCTTGGAAACCCAGCTCCGGAACTGGGGACCTGTGCTTTCCCATCAGTGTATGTAATTCATTACATGTCTCCAAATATGGTTGATGTAGATAGAAAAACTGTCTGGAACTTTGCTGCCACTAATGCATCTTCATTCATTCAGGATTTATGGCAATGACCTTCTTTCCAAGGTTATTGGAAAAAAAGGAACTACTATCCTCCTACATTGGAACTACTATCTTACAGTAGTTCCTCAGAAAGAACAAACAAATTTATTATAAAAAAACATGGCAGCAATTCCATTTGCTGTTACATGTGATCTGCTGCTCTGAGTCTAGAGCACTTTCCTCCAAAGTGAAATGTTTGGTGTCTGTATTAGGGGAATATAATAGACAAGATCCAGTAGCCTGCTTCTCCTGGGGCCTTGCCATCAGAAGTGTACCACAACCACCCAGCTCCAAAGGCATACCTCCTCCTTATCCCTCTGTTTTCCCACACTTGTTCCTTCCCACATCACCTAGCTCCTTCCCTTTCTCTGCCTTTGATTCTTCCCCTAAACATCCTACAGCAAGTCCTCTGCAATTCTGAAGTGCTCTTGGTCTGCATATTCCTACTATGCAACCTCACTCAGTCCAAATGTTGATGTGTTGATTTGATAAGATTTCCAGCCTGAACCCTGGGACTGGGGCTGCTCTGGAACAGCATTGGGAAGGGTTCAGACAAGTAGTCCCTTCCCCTCAGTTTTTAATCGGAGCTCCCACCTGCTGTTGTGTCCCTGTGCTCCACAGGACTTGTGCAGGGAGACTTCAATGGGCCGATGGCTTTTGCAGTGGGCTGGGAAGGAGTCAGGGCAGAGTATTACTTGGCTATCCCCATGACATTGTCTCTCTGTACTCCTTTGTGGGTGTGCAGATGAGCTTTTACCACATAATTGCACAGTTTGTCTTTCTCAACCTGTTTATGGAGATTTCAGGTTTATGTTATTTTCTCTGAAGAGTGATATAGAATGGGAACTTCGGTTTTCTAGAAACAATAATTGCTGTTGTTTCATATGTTGTTTCATATGCCTGTGCATTTCAGGAATCATAACCTGTAGGCTTCCCCTTCCCCTGACAGTGACTTAGAGTAAGTTAGAGTAAGCTATAGAAGTCAGCTTTCTCTTGGTCTTACTCCTGACCTAATGAATCCTGGCTTTCTGTCTGAACAGTGTCACAACTGCAAGAGAAGCCATTTATCTCAGCTGTGTGATGGGGATGTGATTTTGAACATCTCAGAGTCAGGAGGTAAGACGTGTTGCCCTGCCTTGTTCCCCTGCCTGCCTTTGCAGGGTTTCACGGAGTGTTGGACTGCTTGTGAATGTCCCAGATAAGGCCTCGTGGTGATATTGGCATCTTTTTTCCCAGTTTCTGAAGGAACTCAAGTGGATGCTGCTATGCTTCTGTCTTCTCTTCAGAAGAACTAGCATTTGAGCTGGGAATTGTTCTGCATCAGGACATACGGCTGTGGGATTCACAGGACTTGCCAGTCGTGTGCTGTATCCCTTCTGACCAGGTTGTCCCAGAAGCACTCAACCTGTAACTGTCAACCAGCTGTCCATGAGGGGTGCAGCTGTATCCCTTCTATGCCATATATTGCAAATATCTTGCATGTCATGGCTCCAGTGAAACCACCACCTTGTTCCAGTATCCTAGACAAATACTGGAAACCCTTAATATCTGATAAGAGCACCAGTAAGCTTTCAGGTGGATAGCAGGGACCTGACTGGGGCAAACCACATGAATGTAAGCCTTACTTCTGGTGCTTTTTTACACCTATGTGCTCAGGGCAGTCTGAGTGTACAGAGAAGCAGAAATGTCAACTGCATTGACTTTGACGTTACATTTGTGCTTTTGGTCTCCAGTTGTTGTTGAATGAAGGGTTTTAAAACTGTAGTTCTACAGTTAGGTACCAAAAATTTTCCAAAGCCTTGTTTTGGATTTTGATTTGGCCTTACATAGAGTGATTTGGGCAATTGCAGACCTATCA